CCAGTGTCGAAAACCATCGGGAGCCAGCCAATGTAGTCAAAGTGTCATCAATCCTTGGTAACGGGTAGCTATCCTTCTTGGTGACGTCATTGAGCTTCCTATAATCCACACAGAATCTTGTGGATCCATCCTTCTTGGACACTAATACAACCGGTGCAGACCAAGGGCTGGATGATTCTTCAATTACCCCATCCTTCATCATTTTGTCAACCAGCTGTTCCACCTCCTGTTGCTTAGCAAATGGCATTCTTCTTGGTGGTTGCCGAATTGGGTGAGCTTTACCAGTATCTATTCTGTGCTTGACCAAGTTCGTCCGCCCTGTTGATGTTGATTCAAAGATATCACTTTCGTCTGTTATGAATTTCTTGGCAGCTTTATATTCTGCTGTTATGGTGGTAGGTAACACATTTGCTACCCTCACAGGAATGTCTCGTTCGGTGGTCACTAAAGCTCGGGCAAGTAACAGCTTGCTGGGGGATTCCTCACATGACTGTACTAATCCAACGCAGCACCCAGGGTCCTCTTCTAATCGCGCATGGATGATCTTCTCAGTGAATCCAGGAATTCTCACAGTCTTCGCTAGTCGTAGCCTCACAGACGTCTCCCTCTCGGCCGGTGTCGTTAGTACAAACTCTTCTTCTCCAAATTTCATGGTCTTCTGATCACTGTCGAATGAAAACCCGTAGTCGCTTATCAGATCCATGCCGAGGATAGACTCATCTTCGATATCTGCGACGTATACCATGTTCACTATATGGAGTCTTCCAAGCGTCAACTCGATATCAGCCATCCCTCGTATAGGTGCATTTTCTCCAGTGACCGTACGAAGAACAAAGTTGGAAGTGGTTGGTTTTATACTTCCAGGCCGGATAATGTCACTGCGTACCAGGGAAACTGATGCACCGGTGTCTATGGTGCAGGTTACATCCATTTGGTTGATTTTTCCTTTGATGGTCAGGCTATCAGTTGTTCTTCTTATCCTTTTGATGTTAATGACCCTGGGGGCTTCGCTATTACTAGCCAGCATGCGCCCCGATACGCTGGCTAGTTCTAGTTTTCCTGGTATCTATCTGAGGACTCACTAGATGACCTAGTCCTCGCAGGTGAGTACGACCGTGATGGCGTCCTTGCAGGTGAAGAAGATCGTGGTGGTACTCTCACCTTACAGTCCCTTATCAGGTGTCCAGTTCTGCCACAGCGATAGCAGGATCTATTTCGCTGGTTACTAGACCCACTCTTAATTTCTTTGAGTTCCTCAAGCACTTTTCTCAACATTTTCGCCACTGGGTCCACGTCTTCGGAAGGCTCCTCGATGGACACAGCTCTCACTTTTGGCCTAGAGGTGTTGAAGGCCGCTTCTACCTCCAGAGATCTTACTAGGGCTTCACCACTCCTCTTAAAGTGTGTAAGTCTCAGAGTCTTCTGTATTTCTGAGTCTCTCAGCCCGTCGATGAATACCTGCACCGCCAGTTGTTCTTTGAAGTCCTCTGGTGCCTCTGGGTAGGCTAATTGAGTCAGTCTTCTCACATCTGCTTCGAACTCCTGTAGGCTCTCTCCAGACTTCTGCACACGATTTTTCATCTGAGCCCGGTATAGCTGTTCTCGATGTTGGTCACCATACCTGAGTTCTAGCGCAGCCACTAAATCTCAGAAGTGGTTTTGTTGTTCAACTGGGATCGACTGTAACATCCCCAAAGCTGGTCCTCTCAGAGCTACTATGAGTGCAGTAGCTTTTTCCTCGTCACTCCACCCATTTGCACTTGCTGCAGCCTCAAATTGTCGGCGATACATAGACCAAGGCGACTGTCCATCAAAAGTTGGTGGTTTCACGGAAGAACCCGATGTGGCAACTCTGTCACGGCGATCTTGACTTCGTAGCAAGGTGATCTGATTCGCTACATTTCTTTCGATTGCATCGAGCATGGAATCTATTCTTGAAACTTCCTGGTTAAGCTTGTCATCAATTCTGGTGACATCTGTCTTCAACTCATCCATTTGCTTATCAGTTTTATGCAGAATTTGTTCGAAGAAGATTTTCTGATGTTCTCGTTCTTTTTCTTGATGTTCTCGTTCTTTTTCTTGATGTTCTAGAATTTTCTGTAACTCTTCTTGACGACGTTTTTCTTCTTCTAGTTTTTCTTCCTGTCGTCGTTTCTCATCTTCCTGTCGTCGTTTCTCTAGTTCTGCGAACTGATTTTTCATGAATTTTATAATGTCTTCCATCGTGTCGTATGACGTACTCCTTGTATTCACCATACGTATTCAAATGTCCTCGAAAATCCACACTTCTGACACCACTGTTACGATTTTACTCTGGGTCCGTAATAATTTAACACTCGGTAGAACACTTAAAACGATTTATTCTGAACACTACTATACAATAATTACAATACTCGTACTAAACGCTTCCGATTCACAACACTTCTTCGATCGTTATTATAACGCTTCCAAATAAAGACTTTCCTTCCTGTCCCTAACAAGAACTATTTATACTACCTAATAAAACGTCTAGATTCCACTCGAAATATCGTGAACAGGTCGATAATCTTCTCGAGTCATCTCAATAGCCGTCGATTTCTATTCCAAGAAATACGGTTTATTTACTTCCGTATAACAGGTAGCTGGGATTGATCGCCAGGGTCGTAACAATATGTTAAACTATAATTAACTTTTCTGTAGAACTTTCATTTAACTAAAGTGGATAACTAAGATATTAGGTCTCCTGGAAATAATAGAGAACTTAAAATTATACTATTTTCATATTATTATCTATCATTCTAAATAGGCACCTTTTTTATTATTTTCTACCAACTTTAGTTGAATTTTGTGAAAAACTGAAAGATTGATTTACTACTGACTTATTTTTCTTCAATTTATTCAACTAAAGTCGTTCAAATATATTTTATTCAACCTAATAATATTATGCGCGCAAATTTCATGGATATATTGAATAGTACTTTGGGTTCCTTGCAGGAAGATATATTTCTACCAAGTTTAGTGAACTGAATATGTGAAAAATTTCAAGTCAACTACTATCGATTCATTTCTCATTATTTTGTGTAAGTAAAGTAGATTAACTGGGTTTTATTTAACCTAACAATGTTATGAATGTGCATTTTATCAATAATACTAATACATTTTCATATAAACACTATGATATATTATACCTACTCTTCAGTTTTGACATGAAGAATGACATACGCAAATAAAAAAAATATGTTATTCTTTTGAGTTAACATACAAAGCCTACTATTCAAATGTCAAAGCCATCGAAAATCGTCATTATAAAAGTTATTTTTCAATAATATTTCAGTGTGAAATTTTCTTACCGAATACCACTTTAGCTTCAATTAATATCCGGGAATTTTTTCTCGAACACGAATATTTAGATTCAGATTTAGAGATAGATTTCCGGAAATGATTGAAGCTCTCGTGATATTATAAGTGAAAATTGCACCAATTGTTCATTCACTTTCAACATTGAGGGTGCAAATACAGTTTGAGTTAAATTGTTCGTAACGTATTAGTTCCTGTTTCAATGCAAATCGATATTAATAATAAAGTATTCAAGTTGCGTTTTCCATTTTCCTACAACTAGTGCCGCAGCTCAATAAATCATTTTTTGCTTTTTGCATGAACGTAGAAAAAAGGTTGTATGCAACTCGTTCAAAAATTGTTTATTGCACTCGACGTGAAACTGTCCGACGAGGCCGTTTCACTTTTTGCACTTGTTGCATAAATAACTATTTTCACTTAAACATGCCCATTGCTTATTTTTCAACGTTTCGCACACATTGTCATTATAGTTAACGTCTTGGAACAATGAATTCTTCCTAGCAAATAATGGAGAGAAAAATAAATGTTGACTTGTTTGAGCGAGACTTTCTACACATCCTGTATATTTCTTGGAATTCATACCACAGACATTCCATCACGAGCTCATTGTATAGGTATTCATAAGTAATGAAAATAAGGAATGTTTCTTGGAATATTAACCGCATCAATGATCGGATCTAATAAGCAATTTCTCGCTCATAAACTTCGGAGTTATTGTCATATACAAAGGGAATTATCAGTTGGTTAGGTCAGGAATATAATATAATAATTATCAACAAATTATATTTCTGATTGAAATGGTAAACAAAAATGATTAATTTAGGTCAGGTCAAAAAAAGATACATATTATGAAATTATCACGGATTATCATCGAATTCAATGTCACTAGGATATGAATTCGACCGTTACTAAGGAAACTGAACTATTTTGTAGGTGGATATTGTATTTGAAAAAATGAGTCATTCCAGCAGATACATTATCTCAAAAAACTAGAATTCACAACTTAGAGATTCAGAATGGATATGGTTGCCCCAATTGCCCAATTGTGAGCAAAAGGAAACAGTTTACTGGTCCGATTCACCAGACCTCATCAGTCGCCCTCGGTCTGCTGACAATGGGGTTGTACACACCAGTCGCATTCACGACACATGATCGTTCTATGTATTTATGGTATTTATGGTATTAGAAACAGTCATTCATTATTTGAAATCATCACAAATATCTTCCATCTACAAACGTCAATTTCATCTGTCACCTGCAAAAATCCAAGGAATTATTTACTTCTGAATCTTTAACAATGATAAAGGCTATTCAAGCCATGCAGTTCCACACTAATTTCATATTAGGCTCATTAGCATATTTATTATTTCAGAACAATATTTTTCAAAGATTGTAGGAAAAGCTTCAATTGAGAGAATATTTTTTTTTATTCGAAACTATGCGGTATGCTAAATTTCTGAACAGCGTAGAAAAATGTGTTTTTTTTTATGTGAACTTTGAACCCTTCTCACGGACAAACGGTACATATTGGCCCATAAACGAATTGGGTTCAATCAACTTATTTTGACCTCCTCTACACGTGGTTGCTCTGTGTCCTAGCAATTTTGGGACACCCTGTATATACTTATGGTCGACTATGAAACTTATATCTAACATTTTTCCAGGAAAAATGTTCAAAAGTGCAGAGTTACCATGGCTGATTCAATTTTTCCAAATGTTCTACAACGATAAACCTGTAGATTGGCTGTTAGATTATTTGATTTCGACGAAGATATGCAACTGGGAGAAAAACGTGAGATCTGTTCGTTATTTTTTTCATGTTCAAATTTAGAGACTACGATAGAATAATACTCAAATCAAAATCCTAAATTTAGTATTTTGGCCACTAATATACGATATACCTACTCCTTTTCAATTTGATAACAACACAAGGCACTGTCCCGAATAATGTTCATCTCTGAAAAACAAATTCGAGTCTCAATTTGTTCAGAATCGCATGATTATACAGTGTGACCCATTTAAAATGGAACCACCCCTGTATCTTACGTAATCGTTGGGTAAGGATCCTGAAATTTGCTGGAGCGAGAGATATAACAAAAATGCACTCTATGACCAAGTGGAGTCATCTTCAGTGATATACACTGCTCGCCAACAGCCATGAAACCACCCCAATTTCCGGAAAATGATATTAGGAGTCAAAATAGGTTGAAAATCACGTCGGATTCGGAATGAGGACGCCCAAGTTACTAACTATTCAAAGTTTTCCTAGAAGATTTTCAGTTCAGTAAAATTAAAATTTGTCTCACTTCTCCTGGAAGCACCCCCGTATCTCACGAAATTATTGAGGTAGGGTTCTGAAATTTGCCGGAGGAAGAGAAAGTCCAAAGATAAAGTCAATTACGTGAGATACGGGGGTGCTTCCATAAAAAATGCGACAAAATTTCATTTTTCCGAACTGAAAATTTTCCAGGAAAAATTTTAATAGTTAGTGAATTGGGCGTCCTGATTTCAAATCTGATGTGATTTTCGACCTATTTTGACTCCTAATATCATTTTCCGGAAATTGGGGTAGTTTCATGGCTGTTGGCGAGCAGTGTATATCACTGAAGATGACCCCATTTGGTCATAGAGTGCATTTTTGGTATATCTCTCGCTCCAGCACATTTCAGGATAAGTCATGGAAACCATCCATCCTTCTCAAAGTGGTCCAGATTTTTCAAAGAAAAAACACAAACGCTAAGTCGGTCGACCACAAAGTTTAATTACAAAAAGATTTTTGTGACTAGTTTCGGCTCAAGCAGCCATCTTCAGACACAGTATATAGTACCTGTAAAGATATTGATTTACAAGAAAAAATGTCATATTGAGGAACGTCTGTCAACGTCTATTGCTTTGCTTGACATTTCGTTGCCATCTCCTTGGCTTTTGTTTTTTCAAAAAACGGCCATTTTAAGATGAAACTCATGTGGTCGACCGACTTAGCGTTTGTGTTTTTTCTTTGACATTTCGGGATCCTTACCCAACGATTACGTAAGATACAGGGGTGGAAAAAATTCAAGTGGTGTTCCCTTGTGACATTCTATATAGCAAATGTGTCCTAACTTGCTCCGTTTTTGAGATACAAGATGTTGAAGTTGGAAGTATTAATTGTTTTTATTCATAACCCCTCTGTATAAGCTTTTGGAGACTGAGAAAGTCCTAAAATTTCAAAATGATTCTAATTGGGGTTATTGAGTAATCTTGAAAACACCTACATTAAAATTTGGAGTCAAATCGAATTTTTATTGTTTCCTCAAGAACTTAGCTAGATACAAAAATCACACAGAGGATGAAAAAATTGTTATTTCAATAGTTCAATCTAATAAAAATATGTAACTCAGTAAAACCGGTGGTGTACAATTGCATTCACCATAAATATCGATAAATTTACCCACTGTGACGCCACTGGAAATATTATTTCGAATCTAATTGCACTAGAAGAAGCACCATATCACTATTGACAAAACCACATCGTTTTATTGAAATTGATGGAAAGGCAATTGAGAAATGAACATAGAAAAAGATTTTTCATGGAATCTCGAAAACGAAGCAAGTTAGGCCACATGTATATATGAACTCTATTACCTGAATTATCACAAGAAATCCCCCCTTGAATTTGTTCGGTATTATTTAGATACACCCTGTATGATTATTATGAGAGCTATAAAGGGTGTTTCCGAAATTGAATCGATAAATGGAGTATAGGTGATAGAAGACGAAAAAACGAAACTAATTGGAAGACATCTTTGTTAAACAAATCATCTTGGGAGAAATGAATTCTGATGTTTGCCTGATATGTTTGGATTGAATATATTAATGCAATTTGAATAAAGGTCAACAGCCGAACCAAAACGTTAAGTACCACCGAAACTTACACAGAACCCAGTATCAGTGAGTTTTGCAATGTTTCTGGCCGCTCAATAATAGTTAAATGTTATATGGTGAGAACGTGAATAATGAAGAATTAGAATGTGTCTACTTAATATTCATAGTATCATTATTTCTAATACAACATCCCATCACATTTTTATCATTCCAACTTCTGAAACACCCTTTAATTATGTATATACAGTGTCTTTCAAAAGTATCGGAACGGTCTCATATTTCAGGAACGGCTTGAGAAAAATTCACGAAATTTTCAACAGGGTGATTATTGATGATGTCCGATTCAATGGTGGCATCGGCAATGTTGCCAAGTTTACAGTTTTTCAGATATTAGGAGTAACTTTATTTTTTCAAATGGAATACCCCATTTATTTTTATTGCAATTAATTGAGTGCCTCTAATTACTTGAGTCCCTGAATATCAGATTCGTAATTAACGTGATTTTCGAAATATGACAACATAGCATTTTCGTTAAAAAGTTCTGGAACGGTCCCATATTTCAGAAACGGCTCAGAGAAAATTTATGAAAACTTCGACAGGATGGTTTTTGATGATACCCGATTCAATGGTGATATCGTCAATGTTGCCAAATGAACAGTTCTTCAGATGTTTGGGGTAACTCAATTTTTTCGAATGGAATACCCTATTTGTTTTCATTGCAATACATTCAGCGACGCCTCATTACTTATGTCTCCAAATATCAGATTTTGAATTGAAGTGGTTTTCGAAATATGACAACATGGCATTTTCGTTCAAAAGTCTGGGAACCTAATATTTTCAATACGGATCAAGGAAAATTCATGAAATTTTATACAAGATGGTTTCTGATGATGCCCGATTCAATGGTGATATCGGCAATGTTGCCAAATCAACAATTTTTCAGATATTTAGGGTAACTCAATTTTTTCAAATGGAATACCCTATTTGTTTTCATTGCAATACATTCAGTCAATCTAGTAAATAATAAATGAAATAAATATTATTAGGTAATAATGTATGGATAATAAAGTATCGAGTTTTTTTCTGAATCTGAGATCTGCATTTGTCTTAAAAGTATTGTGTTTAATTCGAGCATAAAGTGTAATTGCCGCTCTCCAGATTACCGCGTTCCGCTTCTTTGTCGAGAGGCAATCCATCACTTTGTGCTCTAAATACACAAATAGCTATTGAAGTGCTTGTTACTGATTACAAAAACTAAAAGCTAATAACTATTCAAGTGACATGGATTGAAAAGACTGCATTAAAGGAGCGAGTTCCATTGAAAAAATTTAATAACCCTCAATATCTGAAAAACTGTTGATTTGGCAACATTGCCGATATCACCATTGAATCGGGCATCATCCGAAAACAATCTTGTATGAAATTTCATGAATTTTCCTTGAACCGTATTGAAGATATTAGAAGGTTCCCAGACTTTTGAACGAAAATGCCATGTTGTCATATTTCGAAAACCACTTCAATTCAAAATCTGATATTTGGAGACATAAGTAATGAGGCGTCGCTGAATGTATTGCAATGAAAACAAATAGGGTATTCAATTTTAAAAAATTGAGTTACCCTGAATATCTGAAAAACTGTTGATTTGGCAACATTGCCGATATCACCATTGAATCGGGCATCATCAACAACCATCCTGTCGAAGTTTTCATAAATTTTCTCTGAGCCGCTTCTGAAATATGGGGCCGTTCCAGCACTTTTTAACGAAAATGCTATGTTGTCATATTTCGAAAATCACGTTAATTACGAATCTGATATTCAGGGACTCAAGTAATTAGGAGGCGCTCAATTAATTGCGATAAAAATAAATGGGGTATTCCATTTGAAAAAATTAAGTTACTCCTAATATCTGAAAAACTGTAAACTTGGCAACATTGCCGATGCCACCATTGAATCGGACATCATCAATTATCACCCTGTAGAAAATTTCGTGAATTTTTCTCAAGCCGTTCCTGAAATATGAGACCGTTCCGATACTTTTGAAAGACACTGAATGTATAACTGATATTAAGAATTTGATGTTTTTATAAACTCCACCGAAATCTCTCGGGAGCTGACAGGGGCGTCGATGATGTTTTTTCTTGCGAGGGGGGAAGCCTTTTAAATGAAAAAAAAAAATGTTGCAGAGAGCCATCAATGACATAAAACGTATGTTATACAGTGCTTCCGTAAAGTACTGAATAAATTTGTTTCAATTTGCCACATATTTACAAGAAAAAATTTAATATACACGGTGAATCACGTTTAAATAATTATGTCGGCGACAATATCAATATTGTTCAATTATTGGGAGAACTGAACTCTATATCACACATGTAGTTTTTGTATAGTGCGTCCGTTAAATTCAAAGCTCTTTCAGAGTATATTGGATAATTTCTCCTACACGAATTTTTCTGTATGTATAGATGATTTCGAGAGGATAATGCCTAAATGTGAATGGAATTCGATAGCTTAGAGCGTTCTTTAAAACAAGAATATTGGTTTAACCTTTTGAATTTTTCTATTACTTCTAGGAAGCACAGAATTGAATGGATGCACTGCATGGATATCCAAAAAATTTGTTAATAAACAGGGTGAGTCGGGAGGAACGCATCAAACTCCAGGTGTCTTTGTATACATAAAAATAATTTCAAAAAACCCATATGTTCTGATACGATTCTCATTTGTTTTCATTTCAAATTTGAATAGAAGAACATACCTACTGTACAATACACACCTGGAGTTCGATGCGTTCCTCCCGACTCACCCAGTATATACATAGGTTGCTCCATTTCAAAAAACTGTCGTGAACGTCTTCACTCGAATAGGGTTGATCACCATGTATATATAATTTTTCATTGAAGATGTGGCAAATTGAAATTCATGATCTACCTGTATTAGGAGATTCTTCAGTCGTGAATAGTTTGACTAATAATGTATTTATTCAGTATGTACTTTACGAAAGCACTGTATATATTTTAAAATCAGAAAAAAAAACAAAACTTCGTTGGACAAACGAATCACTATAATTAGACATCAATAAACGTCTATTTTATCTAGTACCTACCCATCTCAATTATGAAATTTCATCAAAAAATATCATAGTTCACTATTTATTTACTATCATTCTTCGAGGGGAGGGGGGAGGGGGAAGGGGGGTAATTTTTCTCCTTATCAACCCCCTCCTCATCGACGCCCTTGAGAGCTGATTCTCATCACCAGAATGGAAAAACAGTTTAAATCAACACATTATTGATCTAAAAACTGTTCCTTGTGCTCAACAGCTTCATTCAATAGATAGAAACAAGAGTTGGCAAAAAAATTCAACATATAACATGATTTCGAATGTTATAAAAATTCAACTGTCTGCTAAAAAATGTTCAACAGTTCAACAATCTTAAGATTGTTCATTATATAAGAGTTTCCTTCCAAGAGATAAAGAACATGTTATGACTGATGAGCCAACTTCAGTGTGTAACATTTCATATTATATCAAAATAATTACCACAACTTTTGATTTTTTATCTCCGTTTGGGAAATCAGTTCACGGGAGATTTCGATGGAATTTGAAGGAAAAGCATCCTGTATAGTATCATATAGTGATATGGATCATTTTCATTCCAGGATAACTGCAAAATGGAAAAAGCTAAAGTGTGGATACATTACAAGCCATCTCTATTTCAACACATAGGAACACATTCGTCACTGAAAGGAAAAGTGCAGAAATTGAAGGTAAACTGAGTTCTCTAGACCCAGTAAACACACTTTGGGAAAGGTGCCTATGATAATCCTCAGCTTATGATGGCATGTTTCCTATGAAGGCATACTATCTATGACTAGTTTATCTTCTGTAGTCTATCTATATAGATACTATCGATATTCCTAACGCATTCGAATTCACCGCTCAAATGTTGTCATCAGATGGTCGTTACTGATCTCGTGAAAGCATAATATACTGTGTCGATGTCTACTAACAGTCATAAGAAGTGTTGTCAATTGGCGGGAAATTTCCCGCATTTCGGGAAATCCGACCGTATGCGGGATTTTTGGTGGAAAAAATAATTTTTCGTAAATTTGCGGAAAATCGTGTCCATAGTAATTCAAACTGGAATTTTGGCGAATGCGCAAAACTCTATTGCTATGGTTTGATCGCCTCATCCAGTGGGAACATATCTCTTACAATGAGTGATAAACCGCCATCTCATCAAAAATCTAAATTCTGTCTTCTTGTGTCACGTGCCAATTGATGAACATGAAACCGTAGATTCAGAGATGTAACAAAATATTTCACGCTCTTAATAGTGGATTGTTTTGACAGACCTGACTGACCATACTGACGTGAAAGTTTGTGTGTTTGTGTTTGTGAATTTTCATACAAATTTTTCTCTTGGAAATTCATAGTGAAAAGATGATGAAATTTCTGATTTTATGCGTCATATCTCTATAATCTTTATTTTTCGAAACCAATTCCTTCATAGACGATTCCATAAATTTGAATGTGACGGGAAATGACGGGAATTTGTTTCAAAAAATGTGGAATTTTGACAGTTTCCACGTTCCACTGCCCATATGTAAGCGTCGGATAGTTCAACAAATATTTGTGGCATCTCGAAGTTATTTTCATGGATTCGATGTCATATATATCATGTTCTCAATGGGCTTCATTCGAGGACACCCATTCAGTACATGCTTTCGATGAATGTTTTTGATCTGGTACTGTGTTCATTTTGAAGTTAATTTGTGACCAAAAATTATTTCGAGTTTTTGAGTTGACGTGTTGATTTCTCTTATGATGGCATACGAGAATCGTTCCTTTGATGGCATGGTATGATATGCATGGACTCTCGATCCAAATCAAAAGAATTGTGGACTTCATGCCAGATGTGCAATTCCTGGTGTCATATTATCGAATGTGCCGGAGTTGAAAAACAAATAAAGCAATCCGTCTGCGAACTCTGCCTATGAATTATTTGCCATTGGATGACTGTTTGGAAATTCCTATAGTTTTTGATTTATTCATAAGTTTATGTTTTTGTAAGAACTGTTCCTTTATTTTGAATACATGAATCTTTCCATAATAACGCACTTATTTCAATTCGGAAATAGGTTAACCTCAGGAGAACCCATATATAAATTGAAGGTATGCCATCATAGGATGATACTTGCCTATGATGGCACATTGCCATCATTTGAATATTTTTCTCATATCACTTCAGAATATATAAAGAATGCTATGAGTTTTGATCAGTTATGAAATCATTGTGTATTCAAATTACACACAGATCATGTATTAAATTTATGAATGACGTGTTAATGTTGATGTAGAGTTGAGTGTGCCATCATAGGTAACTTTCCTCTACGTCGAAATAACGTAGTAGAATTACCACAACGGTCGGTTGAAATAACGCAAAAATTTCGCTGACAAACACGTTGTTTTAAACCAGTATACAAACGTGTTTTCAACTACTTATGTATTTATATCAATTAATTCTATTTCACATAACGTAGACGTGTTTGAAAGAGTAACTCTTAACGTATTTTTAACATTATCAGTTCAAGATTGAACGACGTATCAAGTAGGTACACCAAAAGCTATGAATATACAGGGTGAGTCATAACTATTAAGACATAGGCTGAGATCGGATTGTTTGGACCAAAATATGGCGATAGGACCAAAGAATATGCCTCTATAAAATAGAGCCGTGGAAAAAGATATACAGTTTTGTTTTTCGTTTTTTGCTAATAAGTTTCACTGTATTGTGTATTGGCACTCTTGTTTGAACAAGATATTTTCATCGGTTTTTGAGAAAAACGCAATTGAACAGTTCGAAGTCTTGGAAGGGGATTTCTTCCAATATATTTCATTTATGAAGAGTGTGCTTTGGACTGTTCATAGCTGTCAGATAATTGTTGCTGGTAAATTAAATTTCTTGTCAGAGAATTGATTTTTGTGCGAGTTTATAGTTATTACTTTCTCGATTGAAACGGCCTGTATCTCGTTCCACAGCAATATTTTATCAAGGCATATTTGATCCTTTCACCATATTTGGTCCACCCTGTATGTGACTTTCGAACGTTGAAATGAACAATGATTTGTTGTTTCAATGTATCATTTTTCTAACCTCATAAACAGGTTATTTCTGGCAATTATTCTACCATACATTGTGAATGTTTCGTTTCATTAAAATAGATTGACGTGTTATTGCTTGAATGTATCAACGTTTTGGTTCAACGAATAAAAATGGTTATAGATCAAAACAATGTGATGAATTGTTGGAAATAAAATGTCTAAATAACGTGTTGATTTCTCGTATTTTTCCAACCAAATCATCGTTGAAGTTTTCATACACATGGTACTTGATTCTCATGATATACTCAGTTGTATCACCTATATGATAAACGTTTGGGGATCTTGTTCCAAAAATATTTCAGTAAAATATCTGCACTTCATAAGGAATCACTGAAAGTATTGTATCGCCTCTCATTTGATATCCCAACAAATGATCTGTATGCGATAACAAAAAAATGTTCATTGAATGAATCGTATAAAATAGATTCTCTTAAAGTTTCATATAAAATCATAAACAATAATCTGAAATCCAATTTTGTTTTGATAAGGAACTCAGAAATTAATGGTCATCACACAAGACAATAAAACTTATTATTTCATCTTGATTCTGCTACTTCTATAATTGGACAAAAAAACTTACTCACGCTGCTCTAGCAGAATTCAATAAATTACCACATCATATAAAAAAATTAAGGCATATTCCAAAATTTGAAATTGAATGGATAACATTGATACTTTGCCATCTACTAATTAGTCCCCGTTGCTATTCTTATGACTTGATTTGTTCCTTATGTTATTTTATTATTGTTGTTTGTAATCAACGTCCTCATACCAGAATTTCATTTCTGACTGGAAGTTATTTCCTCAATAAATAATAAACAATAAACAAACCAGTAGTTATTTCCACACGATTCCAATTTCCAACCGTTACTCAACGTTTTTTAAACGAGTACCATATGTGGGGATTGTCGTATGCCATGTTTACTGGAGTAAGTTTTTCATAATTACCTGTTAGTTTCATTTGCATTCAGAAAATGAACAGTCCATCACCAACGTCACCATATATCAGGATCAGTTTGTTCACTCCGAATTGAATTCGCGTTTATCACGCCTGATTGGCTTGGAAAAGATGGTTGACGAGTCTGCGCAGTGCTTATGATCGTGAGCAGGTTATTGTATCACCTCGTGTATTCCACACTGAGCGACATTCCAATAACGATTGGAACGTCATCATAAGTGAGAAATGAAACTGACATTAGGTAGGTACTATAGATCTTTCAACATGTGCTGATATCATTAACATAAATGAAGACAAGTCAAGGCACGAAGACTAAGCCTTGTTGAACTTGGATTGTGTCATTTATTTCGATCAATTGTTGTACTATGTCGAGAGGTGTACTCTTGATAATGATAACTTTTCTAGGAGAAGGTTTTGTAAGACAACATCGCATGATATCTTAATAAAATCATGTGTTTTTTGAATTTAATTTTAAATTTTGAAATATTTTGAATTTTTTGTATTATGTGGTAATTTATTGAATTCAGCTAGAGCAACGTGAGTAAATTTTTTTGGCCAATTATAGAAGTAACAGAATCAAGATGAATAGTTATTTATGGTACTAGTGTGTTATGTTGAAAATAATTAACGCGGGAAATATTTATACCACGAGACCGTTAGGCCAAGTGGTATAAATTCTCAAGTGACTTGAGAAACATAACTCAATAGTGGAATGCAATATTTTATCCAACAAGTGGAAGAAATCGTTTTTTGATGAGTTTTGTGATCAAACCAAAGCTACCTGCGTCTCAGTACCCTATAAATGTCAGAATTACTCGACAGTGACTTTTTTACATTTTGGTTAAAGTAGGTTGTTTGTTAGGTTTCCACGGCATGGTTATAGCAAATGTTCAAATACATTTTGACACCTGTGAGTATTCCCTGCAGAAAAAGGACACTTTTTTGCAGAAAAAAACGTATAGAAAATGGAGGAAACCGATGAAAATTACGTTCCTGAGGATATCCTTACGGAAGCAAAAGAAGCAGCGATGCAGATTTTGCAGGAAAAGTCCCGAGATGCTTACGACAAGGTGTTCAAAATGTTTGAGTCTTGGATGAATTCACGAACGATAAAAGGTACCGATGAAAAGGTTCAATTGGCATATTTTTTACATTTGCAAAAAAATTAGCCCCATCGTCGTTATGGAGCAAATACTGGATGCTCCGCTCACCTATTCACCTTTATAAAAAAATCGACATTTCAAAATATGGTGAATTAACGAGATTTTTGAAAAGCAAATCACAGGGATACAAACCAAAAGAAGTTCAAGATATTAGAACGACCTGAAATAGATAAGTTTTTGAACGAAGCTCCCGATGACGAGTACTTGTTGATGGAAGTGGCTTTGATAATGGGGATTAGCGGTGCTTGTAGATGCGATGAATTGGTCAATTTGAAAATAGAAAATATTCAAGACAAAAGGAAACATTTTCACGTAGTTTTGCCCTCGGTTTTGCCAGATACTAAAACCAAGAAATCGAGGAGTTTCACCATACTTGAATGAGGATTTCCAGTCAATCCGATCAGTTTGTAAAAAATACATGTCTTTGAGACCAGAGGATACTAGTTCTAGCCGCTTTTTTGTTTTTTACAAAAATGGGAGGTGTACCAGCCAGTGTGTGGGAATAAATACGTTGTCGAAGATACCTTCAAGAATTGCAAAGTTTTTGAACTTGGAGGAACACCGATCACTGCCTGAGAAGGTATCTTCAGAGACTCTTTGGGCCAATGCAGAGACTAACATGACTACTTTGAAGCGTCACGGAGGATGGAAGTCCTCGACGGTAGCAGAAGGATGTCTAGAAGAATCGGTGCAGAACAAAATACAAATTGCAAAAAAAATACAAGGTTCTAATGTGTCAGCGTCTTCCAGCACTATTAGCAGCTGTACCGATATGGGAGCATCTGGTTCCAATGAACCAACGAATTTTACAATTACTTCAAATTCGAATTAACCGTTAGCATTCCACTTCAATTTCAATATCAATGTGAATCCTACTTGTAATAGTAATACACAAATAGAATACTACTTTAAATATAACACACTAGTGTGTTATTTGATAGTTTATAATTATCTCGTGTGATGACCATGCATTTCTGAGTTTCTTATCGAAACAAAATTGGATTTCAGATTATTGTTCATGATATTATATGAGACTTTGAGATAATTTATTTCATATAATTCATCCAATGAACATTTTTCTGTTATCGCATACAGATCATTTGTTGGGATATCGAATGAGAGGCAATACAATAATGTGTATTTGAATGCAATATAAAAGCTAATTTCGAGATTAATGTTTTTATATGTATAACCACCATTTTATCATGCGAAATAAAATAACCACTCCTCTATTCTACAGGATAAGCAGTTTGGCAAGATCGCTCTTTTTTTTCCGCACGTTAACCCAAAAGCTGAAGTCATCTCCGATATCAAACACTACAAACAGTACACCCTGAGGCGTGCCTACCTGGGAGAGACCTTCTTTTGGGGGCTACTGCCCCAACCAGGCGATCAGCTGACTTTCAAGTTCAAAACTTCCATCAACATCAGAAGGTATAATTTCCCATTTCGTTCATTGAGTATGAATGAATAATTGATGAATGCATGAATGAAATCTACTATAGATTCAAAATCATCCGGTGGGAAAGTGGTTTGGTCGAATGAAAGCTTAATTCTTGAATAATAATTATTAACTAATACATTTCTTACTTAATAACCATACTAAATAATGCAACATACCTACTATTTATATAGGGTTATTCCCTATTCGACACGAAGCATTGTGGCTATATAAAGCATTTGATTTTTTGAAAGTTTTTTATTTACGGTTGAATAGACACCTATCAGCGCTACATTCCAAAAATATCTTCATGTTTTTTCAATTGCTTGGTGCGGACAAAAGGCAATCCCGATAATCAACTTACCTACAGCCACTATAGAAAGCAGGCAGGTTTTCGTGTATTCAGTATAGGTATGTCATGATCGCGTAATCGCTGTCAACAGCGGATGACATAACTGTCAAGAATTATAATTCAGACTGTTTGTCCAAACTGTTTTGATGTACTATATGGCAGGAGGTAAAGTATAGAACGTAATACGTGTTGTTAAGAATGAAGCACGTGCGTAACTTTTCCATGTGTGCGTAACTTTTCCATGTGTGCGTAATATGCTTCTTACAACACATATTACGTAATATACTATAAATACAAAAAGCTCGAGTTATTTCCACATAATGTGGAATAACAACAGTGGTAGATTTCGTATGGGAATTTCAGTTTGAAGTGTTTCTTTCCTTTTCTACTCAGATGGCGCTGCTTTCATATTGTCTATGAAGGAAGCCTCTTGGGGAATATGATGCCGAGTTGATTTTGTTTGGGTAGGCTACGCTTAGTCGACGGTCTTATCACTGCTAGATGGAGACTGCCCTGCACTAATGAGAGTCAAAGAGCTCGAAACCGGTCTGTAGGTGTCTAGCGTGGCCTGGCTGAATCGAAATCAATAGGCATTCAGGAAAGAATCACTTGTATCAGTATTCGTTTATACAAGTCGATGCATAGATTTCGGGAGGATGTAATTCAATGTTCTGCGAGGCATTAGCCAGGAAATTGGTTGTTTTTCTACCGAAATCTACCATTGTTGCTCATTTTATGTACATTGTGTGAAAATGTCTTCGAGCTTTTTGTATTTATTTAACTCCGATAATGTGTCTTGACCAAATTTTTATTCTTTCAAAATTTTTGTGTTTTCGCCAGTGTAAAAAATAGTATATACACCTCAGGACAGAATGCTATTTTTCCCTTTGTGCTTTCTTCTTGCATTCCTGTCCCTCGATGTATAATGTACTATTTCAACACACCTTCACCTCAACCACACCTGATTACTTGGATCTGCTATTCACATAATTTCATTTGAATTTTCACTTCTTGCTTTCTTTTCATATCAATCATAAGTAGTCACATAGAAATGGTCGCTCAGCTATATCCCAGTATTGAATAACTGCATTTTCTATAGAAACTTATTAGATTTCTTTTATCTGCGATCTAGAGACATTATACGAAATTACTATTATTATAACGTAATGTGGTTATTCACTCTGCAGCTCCAGTGGAATTCGCCCATGTAATGGCCTTGCTTTGGCGATTGATTGTGCAATGAGAAAAACGCCGTTTACTTCTGATGCAAAACTTGGAGTTATTTTATCTCAATTTTTTTTTTCAGTTTGAGGATCAAGCTACTCAAAGTTTGTTTAGGAATTCATCATACAGGGTGTTGACATGAAAAATAAAACTTGAGTCTACTTCTGATGTTGAGAACTAAATTATGTTTCAAGGACACTTATTTCAGGAGTCCTTACTGGTACAAAATTTTCTAGAAACTGGTCTTCTTTTTCGTCATCTTCTTTTTTGCAATATATCTGAATATTCTTCCACCTTCTCGATTTATTTTTGAGGTATCGAAAACTCATAATGAGAGAAAATCTCGTTGTTTTTAATGTTTTGTATGACACTCCGATATGAGATTGTTACTCCCTATGTATTTTTGATAAAAAACAACACGAATTTGATGATTTCAGGAAGGAAACTAACATACTCATCAGATAACACAACTGTTTTCAATACAAAATGGCCAGTTCAAATTTTCTCGTACATACACAAGCGTCATTCCCTTTGAACACAGAAATGATCAAAAAAATTAAGAAGTGATCAATGGTTTATAATATCAAGATAATAGATTCCTACTTCCTAAAAATATAATACCATAATGTTCTACCTACCAGAGCTATTGACCTCTACAATATTTGCAGTCGATTTGAATTCAGTATTATATATTACGAGGAAGAAAATGGAAAAATGACACCAATCATGTTAATTCGGAATGAGGAGAGTTTGCATATGGCGGATGTTCGAAAGCATATGGGAAACAATAGTATGGAGTTAGTTTTCCTGCAGAAATATTCCCAATATGATTTCATCAAAAATCTACCCGTTTTCATTTCAATACTCACGGATTTATCCAAAAGGATCATAATCGTTAATGTTGAATATTTTCTCATGAAACTTGGTACAGATCTATTTCAGAGGACGCCGATTCTAGTGGCTCAAGCGGATTTTTTCTAAAAATATTGCTAATGGGGTTTCTGGATTTCCCAGCCTCTGAATGTGATCTAGTAGGCCTTGAATTTAAAAAAAAAAGAGGACACCGATCAGCTCCAGAATACACCTTTCCTCTCTCTATATTTCAAAATAAGAATCGTGAAAATCGCTCAATAATTAGAAAAAGTATGAGGGTGACACGCTTTCAAATTCATATCAGTCTGGGCGAAAACTTGAAAATTTACACAAGTCACGACTTTACGAAATTGGTGGTAATGATTGATGTGGAAAAATATATACAGGTCAAACTAGACTATCCACAAAAGCAATGCCCAAAGAACACCTTATCAACACATACATCAATAACTTCAAATTGATCAAACAAGTTGATAAATTATCATCGCGCGAGTTGAAAGAACCCTTCTTTGTTCTCAGGTTCTACTTCAGGAGTGGTAATGCGGAACATCCATCTGATAAATTCTACAACACCACCGTAGAAGTGCTGCCAGAGGCGGGAATCGGCCAAAGCAACAATTCTCCGAACATGACAAGTGATGGCTATATCATCGTGGGTGAGTCACGTTTCCCAATCGGATTGATAAAAAATGACCTAAATACTTCAGTCATTTATGAACAAAAAAAGGTGGCAACCTCGGAATATTAGATAATGGGCCGGAATAGTAATTTTTCCACCTACCATCGTTTACTGCTTTTCGAGGCGTAAAGTGAGATTTTACTACCAATGTAGTTTTCGTCATTTTATAAACCACTGGTCGAAAAAGACATAACCACCTCTGTTATAATTAACCTTAATTTACTGTGCTGATGGGAGATTCGCATTAATGGTACTCGGATCTAGTAGATATTTATCAATAACGACTTATTGTTACATGCCGTCATAGTGACTAGATTTAAAGGACCCCGCACGAAAACACGGGAAATTGACTCTCGGTCAAATTGGCTGAAAATTTACTATGTTGTTGTGGGATGGCTCATTGAAAAAATATGTGAGTTTGAAAAGTTTTGTATGTTTAGTTTCTGAGATATAAGCCGACAAAGTTCGTAATAACGTCGTATCGGAGTACGATTGACAAAGAAAGAAACTGTTTTTTTAGTATAAATAAGACAGAATAAGCTAGAAAATGTATTGATCGGAACTCATAAACACGTCTAGTTATAATCACATGAATTATAGTAATCAGAGTGTATACGAGGCAGGGTCAAAAAATTCATTTTTCTGAAAAAAAAATTCGAGCACTATTCCAAAACCAACAAGCTACATTCTGGTGGGACATCATAGTATTAGTCTATTTTAGACTTCGAAAACGTATTTTGATTCTTTATAACTATCTCTGTTCGAAATATGAATTTTTAGAATTTTGTGTTATACCCCTTTTTGAAAACAATTGACATCTTGTTTTCACAAAGAAAGAGATTGATTGATACTGTTGATCGAATGAAAGCTGAGGTATTTCACTAGCGAATTTAGTTGTTCATTATTGCCTTTCATTAAGATACAGGATGTGTTAGATTTTGTTGAAGATTATTTAACATGTTTCAATTGAATATCTCGAAAACAGTTCCGTTGATTTGGATCTCATTTTACTCACACTATTCTGAATAACTTGACTATCATATGCAAAAAGTTTTTCAATTTTTTATGTTTCGTTTCTGAGATTATTTTTGACAGTGAATCCAAACTGGAAGAATCAAAAATCCCTTGGCTGGTACAAAAATATGCCGATTATAGTACACGAAATTACCAAATGGCCAAAAAAATAGGCAGAATTAGCCGGTTAGACATCACAAATGAAAAAAATTCAAATCATTCTCATCGGGCTACTGCCGTTTCACAATTGGCAAAAGCAGGAGTATCGGAACAAGAACTGATTAAAATTACAGGTCATGGTAGTAGTAATTCTATAAAACCGTATCTGCAATTGGATCAAGAGCATCACGAAAATATAATAAATCAGATGAGAACCAAACAGAGACACACTTCTGGATCCAGTAGTAACGTCGAAATGTCCAGCATTTCAGCAACCATCAATAGCCACGTGGACGTTTCCAGCATTGAAAATAACACGAATAAAGAAAATTCTGTTTGAAATAATTGTAATTTTTACTGCACGAATATGTATCTTCGAGGTTATACATCTCAAACTTCCTGCATAATTACAAATCGTGCCAGATTAACAGAATAATCCTTTCGCTGCGCGGTCGGATTATTCAAACTGTCAAACTGATACTCTTTGTAATAATGCAACAATTTATCGATGTATAACCCGAATATTTTGAAGTACTTATAGTATTACTACTGAAAATATCGGTAAACTAATTGTAGACCCAAAAATAATCGACGATTGATCCGGAATGAACGTTGAAATATTTAATTTCATCAACAGAAATAAAAAACGTTGATATGTCACATTTATTTCTCGTGAAAAATTCGGTTGAGAACCAGGCATTCTCCACCGGTTTCAAACGGTTATTCACGTTCAAACAATGTGGATGTTTTCTTGGTTTTGCGTTGATTCGAATTTCAACCGACCGTTTGGGCGTAGTGTCGAGCGCGAGGAAACGCCACGTAATACATCTGTAGCGGAATAGCATAATTATCATAGCTACAGCTACCATATTAATGAGCACATTGCCAGCAAACCTAAATTTTAGGTACCGAAACCACAGAAGAAACGTACCGAATTCGAGAGTCGACGTACCGAAATCAAATATGACATGCACACTACATTCAATGAAAAGCATTAATTTTCCAATTCATTCAATTTTGCAAATACATAAAAGGGCAGAACACAGGAGAATCTTCATTAACCCATCAACCGTAATGGAAAATGATAGTTATCGACTATCGTTGGCCAAAGTGGCCACTTGTCATCAATGTCAACTGTCAATGGTGTCAAAACAAACAAACAAAACAGTTGACACCAATGACAGTTGACCTCTGATGACAAATGACAGTTGACTTCTGATGACAAATGACAATTAACTTTGAAGACAAATGACAGAGTAACTAGCCAAGTCTGAAGTATATAAAAATCATAGATCATGGATGATCTAAGGTAAAAATCATTCTACATGACGTTACAGTTTTTGTGGATAATATTTTCATCTCAATATGCGTTCATGAAATGAACAATAAAAATGAAATGTAAAATATATTATTAATAAATAATAACATGTATTTCCTTTATATTTCAGTGAGGTTAATATAAAAAATATCAAATGTCAATTGTAAAGCGCACTTTGTAATGGATTGGCAGTTGACATTTGATTTTAGATCACAGAACGTTTATTAACTCAGATCGCAGAACGAGTGATCAGAACGCAGAGTCGTCGAGTCATAGAACAAGAATTTGTCTCTTCGATTCGCTTCATGAACATGAGTTCCATGAGATTTTACAAAAAGGTACCGGAAATGAAAGAAGGGTACCGACGTACATTTTAGTCGCCAAACGTACCGAATTCGGTACCAACGTACCGACTCTGGCAACACTGCACAAGATATGGTATGGATATGCCGTCCTTCGGAGAGGACGTTAAGCCGGCGGTCCCGATGCCATGGATGTTGGACTCGTTGAAGATCCCTACCTCTGGTTGGAACACCAGAGGATTCGGCAAAATTTCCGGTTAGGGGTAAAGTATGCTCACCGGCGTCGGTGATTAGCCTCGGTAGCAGAAATACGTTATTTCGACGTTAGGGCGTTCACTGGAAATTATACTCTTTAGTGTTTAGTATAATTTTTTCGCACTAGTGGACATAGTTTTTCAGTTTAATTTCTACGTTGTACAGAATGGCGATCGATTAAGTCCAATTCATTTTCATTTTTAAATGATGAAGAAAATGGCTAGACAATAGCTAACCAATAAAAACAATAGAAGAAGTAGACAATTTTGCTAGAGTTTCTGTGATCTCAGTAGGCTAAGAAATTGTTTTCGATGATTTTTATTTTGCTTGAAATAATAGATAATTTTGAGTAGTATATATTATGGGAAAACAGAATTCTCAAATTGTCCTAAAAATTCGAAAGTACAGGAGTGGGGTGGAACAAATTGTAACACACTGTATATCATTATATGTATAACTTTTTTTTCATGTTCATAATATAGCTTTTCAAAACATCACAGTATGAATTTTCCAATTGGAAGATGGTAGTATATGTACAGGGTGTCCCAAACTGGATGCGTTCTTATGGGAACACCCCTTATTTGAAGAAGAAGAAGAGATGGAAAAAAATTAACCTAGGTGTCCGGAGCTTAAATTCAATAAGGAAACCACTGGCGCAAACGAGACTTTGCTATCTCTTATCGTTTGGCCGCCAGAGGGCTTTTCTCGAAATTCGTTGATTTCTTCAATGCCCCATAACTTTCTTATTAATGAAGATAATTTATTTTGGTAAAAACATTCTCAAAGCACTTTTTTCCATAGAATCTATTGAGGTGAGAAGTTTTTCTACAGGGCGTTCAGATTGCTGTGCACCATCCCAAACTCTGTTTTTTTAAATGGACCACCCTATATATTATGATATTTTTGAGAAGCTCGTAAAATTTCCTAAATTTTGATGTATCACTCGTCATGTCTATCTCAGAAACCATCAGCAACATAACGATTTAAAAATTAAAATATTGTGCCTACAGAAATCAAGATTTTCCTGACTAATGAAATGACATAGGATGCTTACATGTTATGATTAAAACTACAGATCTGAAGTTTCATGATTGAATTACTCATAGTTATCATAATGAATTCATAATTATTCAAAATACAAAGGACAACAACAACAAACCAACAATATTACACTAACACTAAATCCTAACATAAAATTATATGGAACTTGATGAACGATATTGAATAAACATAAACACAAACATAATGAAATTATGTCAGCAAATGTTCAAATTGTCCCCCATTTTGTTGAAGGCAAATTCTACATCTTTTGGTAACAGCATTAACTGCATTAATGAGTTGTATATTTAGAACTTGGTTAAACGCACCTCGCAACACCCTTTCTAATTCTTCCCGGCTATTGAAATCATTATTTTTATAAGTTAAGTCTCTAATTCTACCCCAAAGCAAAAAATCTAAGGGCGTCAGGTCCGGTGACCGGGCAGGCCATTGTATGGGCCCTTGATATCCCATCCACTTCTCACCGAACTGGACATTGAGGTAATCGTTGATAATCCTTGCACAATGTGCAGGGGCACCATCGTGTTGGAAAACTACTCTGGGTATCAGATTAATAGGAATATCTTCCAAGAACGGTTCAACCTGGTTCATTAAAATATCCAAATATTCTCTAGAATTCAGCGGTCCATCATAAATATAGGGTCCAATGAATTGTCCTCTGAAAATTCCTACCCACACATTAAAACTGAATCTTCCTTGTTGTCTGTTTTGAACAGTCACATGGGGATTTTCTTGAGACCGTAATCATTAAATCGATTAAATATACCCGCACTACTAATATATCCCTGGATGGTTGCTGTCGTTCGGGATATCTTTGGAAATACAAGTTTTCTGCCGCCTGAGCATTTTTGTTACTTTCTATGTAACATTCAAGCATGTTGAACTTTTCGTAATTTCCATACATTCCTTAAAACTCTTCAAAAACCTTATGAATATACTTATTTTCTACCGAAAATACCAAAATATCAAACATTATCGAGTTCTACTGTCAATTCTCAACTATTTAAAAGCTGTCAAACAACGAAAACAGAATAATCATGATCACGGCCTACTGCTTCTTAACGTAAAAACTTTAGATCGGTGGTTTCAACTATAACATGTTAGCATCCTATGTCATTTCATTAGTCAGGGCAATCTTGATTTCTGTAGGCACAATATTTTAATTTTTAAATCGTAATGTTGCTGATGGTTTCTGAGATAAACATGACGAGTGATACATCAAAATTTAGGAAATTTTACGAGCTTCTCAAGAATATCATAATATATAGGGTGGTCCATTTAAAAAAACAGAGTTTGGGATGGTGCACAGCAATCTGAACGCCCTGTAAAAAAACTTCTCATCTCAATAGATTCTATGGAAAAAAGTGCTCTGAGAATGTTTTTACCAAAATGAATTATCTTCATTAATAAGAAAGTTATGAGGCATTGAAGAAATTAACGAATTTCGAGAAAAGCCCTCTGGCGGCCAAACGATAAGAGATAGCAAAGTCTCGTTTGCGCCAGTGGTTTCCTTATTGAATTTAAGCTCCGGACACCTAGGTTAATTTTTTTCCATCTCTTCAAATAAGAGGTGTTCCCATGAGAACGCATCCAGTTTGGGACACCCTGTACATACAGAGTATGTCACGACGAGCTTACACTATCTTTATATCGAGAATCAGTCGGGAGAAATACATGAAAATCTGCATGTTCACATTTTAGAATACGCTCTCTTCATTTAAAATATTTTCGACAATGCAGTGTTGCCGCTTCTACTAGAAAGTAGTAGCAACATTGATATTTCACATAGAACACCCTGTATCTTATCGCATTTTTAGGTTCTCCCTGAAGAGCTGATTTCATCGATGTATCACACTTGGGGTCTATCGGAAAATATTACAGAGATATAGGGTGTTGAAAATCGAGATTTTTGAACTTTGGGATTTTTTTGTGCCGAAACTATTCATTATCGGTGAAAACGACTCACATGTCCTAATCTCAACTTTTGATTTACTATTTACTGATTTTTAATCGGAACAGATATAGGGTGGTTCAAGATTCAGAATTCTGATCACCCTATATCTGTTCCTATTAATTATCACTGAATAATAAATCAGAAGTTGAGATAGGGACATGTGAGCCGTTTTGGCCGATAGTGAATAAGTCTCATCACCAACAAATCCTAAAGTTGAAAAGTCTCGATTTTCAACACCCTATATATCTGTAATCATTTCCGATAGATCCCAAGTGTGATGTATCGATGAAATCAGCTCTTCAGGGAGAATCTGAGAATGCAATAAAATACAGAGTATTCTTTTTGAAATAACAAAGTTGTTGCTACTTTTTGATAGAAGCAGCAACACTGCATTTCTGAAAATATTTTGAATGAAAAGAACGTATTCAAAAATATAAGCATGCATATTTTCACGAATTTCTCCCGACTGATTGTCGATATAGATATAGTGTGAGCTCGTCGTGACATACCCTGTATAGTGGTAGTGAGTAAGGTTATATAAATCAATCTAATAATTTCGAAATTATCAAGCACATTTTTGAAACCTTCTGATTACCTAACAATTTATATCAATATGAATATGAAGCATATACAGTGTGTCCCACTTACTATGCTCACCATGGGTATCTTTTTTACGGTGAGAGATACGAGGTCGGTTAAATGACACCAAATGTGAAGTTTGTCAAGGCCAACTATAATGTGAAAAAATATTTTGATAAAATCTATTCGTTTTTGTTTTATACGCAAAAAACAGATTTTGATCATTTTCATGTCTCCTCCGTAACTTCTTTATTTATGAAGATATTCAAATAGGAATTTCACATTCTCATGGCAGTTTTTCGAAGAGACTTCGAAAAAAATATAAAATTTATACCAACTCTCCTAGAATTTGAGATATCAGCACCAACTTTAGTTTTTCAAATGTAGGTCATAGCTCACTATGGCCTAGTTACAAATAACTTTTTTTTCTCTTTCATTTATACAAAAACAAAAAAATTATTTGGAAGCCGCCATCTTGAATTTATGAATTTTAACAAGAAAATCATGATCTCCGACCTCAAAAACCCCCACTTACCAATTTTGAATAGAATCGGACCAAATCTTGTCCGCCATCTTGGAGCAGCCATTTTTTTTGATTTCAACAAAAATTCCATAACTCCGATTAAGGTGTTCATGATTCCGGTGACAATACATTATGGAATTTTTGTTGAAATTGAAAAAAATGGCTGCTCCAAGATGGCGGACAAGATTTGGTCCGATTCTATTCAAAATTGGTGAGTGGGGATTTTTGAGGTCGGAGATCATGATTTTCTTGTTAAAATTCATAAATTCAAGATGGCGGCTTCCAAATAATTTTTTGTTTTTGTATAAATGACGATAACTCCGTTGTTATCAACACAAAACTATTACCGCGACATATCATCTGTAAGAGAAAACAAAGTTATTTTTAACTAAGTCATAGTGAGCTATGACCTACATTCGAAAAACTAAAGTTGGTGCTGCTATCTCAATTTCTAGAAGAGTTGGTATAAATTTCATATATTTTTCGAAATCACTTTGAAAAACTGCCATGAGAATGTGAAATTCCTATTTGAATATTTTCATAAATAAAGAAGTTACGGAGGAGACATGAAAATGATCAAAATCTGTTTTTTGCGTATAAAACAAAAACGAATAGATTTTATCGAAATATTTTTTCTCATTATAGTTGGCCTTGACAAACTCCACATTTGGTGTCATTTAACCGACCTCGTATCTCTCACCGTTATAAAGATACCCATGGTGAGCATGGTAAGTGGGACACACTGTATAACGATGCACGCCGTGAGATCCATGTAAATGAATTCACATGGTTGCCAAAACATCAAAATTCTCCATGACGTGTCTTTGTTTAGTACACTCACTTTCCGAAAGTCACAGATTACCTATTTTATATCAATTCTTGCGATCGCTTTCTCACTGAATACACATCACATGAGTCACATTCATTGAAGCTCTGCTAGTAAAATTCAACTTTTTTGTAACAAGGCATTACGAACCATATTCCAAAAATAAACTCTGCAATTACCATCAGTATGGTAAGAGACGAGAGGACGTTTTCCAGCTTCAAAGTGGGTTGCTGGATGAACACCGTATAGTAAACAGTGGCTGTGGTGATGCAGGTCAAGATCAGCACCAGAAAAGTCACCAATTCTGAAAATGAAATAATTCAATCTAGTGTAGCATTTCATATTTTCAAAGTGGAGTGAAGTAGTTATAATATAGTAAAAAACTCTCCAAGTCGTCTCCACAACGTTTAATCTCAAATCATGAAGAGGGGAACATACAGTGTGTGCGATTTCAACCCGCAACACCCTCCTAATTTGGAACTCGTCGGCCGATTTTCAAAAACAAATATTCCATAATATAGCACTCAACGAGCTCTATTCGAAAATGTGGAAAAATCTCAAATTTTCATATTTTCAAAGCCTACTTTCGATTTCTGAATAGGCCAAAGTTTCAAAAACGACTATTAGACATTTTTTTGTCGAAACAGTGATTGGCTCATTCTATTCAGGTATAGCTTAAATACCCTCACACGAAATTAGAATGCAAAATCACATATAGGGTGTTAGTTTTGATATGTTCGATTTTTTTATTCACCCTGTATCAAAATCTAAGTAGTAGTAATTCAATGGAGAAAATCATTGAATACTTGGATCCTAGATTTCATCGTTGCAACTTCTCTAGGTCAATCAAAAATCAATAAAATTAATGTTGAGGTTCACCATTTTGAAAACTCAGATGAATCGTTTTTCACACACTTCATATCACACAGTATCTTCAAAAATCCTCTCGATTGATAAAGCACTGTCGAATAAATCACAAATAAAATGACGAACCAATATTCTTCGAAGACTGCAAGGAGATTTACTGATACTTAATCCTAACAACACAGGGATGTCCTAGGTACGTCCCTTTTTTGTCCCGTGGTACAAGGACATGATTGGGACATCCAGGGGATGTCCTGCAGTGGTTGTCCAGTGGACATCCCGCCCGGTACATCCCTAGGTTATTCTATTCGTGTCCCTGGAGTATCTGATATCCATTCACATCAGAGTCATTGAATTTCATCAAACTATTGAGTTGAATTTTTTTGAAAATGTTTGTTTCTCTTCCGGAAAATGATTGTAATGAAAATAAAGAATGAAGTCTCAGAACTTCTTAAGAAATTACCATTTTTCGCAGACAGAAATCGTACATGCATAATGCCCCTCATTTTTAAACACCCAAGAATGATAATAATTATACCCAATCCCTAATAAAGTTGTATTTATTCAGGTTTCTGTAGTTATAAGTCCTGTTTATGAATCTGTTTAGTACATAAATCTTCAGGAGGCATGATAGCCAATGGAGCAAGGTGCGTGCATGATAAGCCAAAGGTCCCGGGTTCAATCCCTACTCGACCTGCAACTTTTTTCTTTCGTCGAAAGGATATCCCTGGGATATCCTTGGGACGTCCTAGGGATATCCTTTCATCGTACTTGGTACATCCCAGGGACGTACCAGAAGAACATCCTTTGAATGCCTTTTTTAGCGGCCAGCGGATGTCCCTGGGACATCCCTAGTATGTACGTTGTCCCGACAAAGGACATCCCTGGGATGTCCTAGTATAAAATCAGGGACGTCCATGGGAAGTCCCTAGGATGTACTGGTGTTGTTAGGGATGTGATCATAATAAAATACCGATTTTGGCGAAATAGAAGGGAAATTTGAGACCACAATGGAAATTAATGGGTAAAGAATATATTTTCTCGAATAAGTTCACCATTATTTATAATTCCAGGAAAAAAAGATATGGATCATAATAAAAAAATTGTCAATTTCAATTTCATCAATTTTTGGTTGAACAAGAGAGATCCCCCTGTAGAAGTTACAACGATGAGAAACTTTGTATCTGAGTATCCGATGTGTTTCTCCATTGAATGACTACTCCACCGGTTATATCAACTCCTTAGACTTTGATACAGGGTGAATCGAAAAATCAAAAATATCAAAATTTGCCACTGAATAACTAACACCTAATAGGAGATTTTGCGTTCTAATTTCGAATGGGTTCATTCCAGCTATGCCTGAATCGATAAAAAATTTCCTAATAGTCGTTTTTGAAATTTCGACCCCTTCAACTAACAAAAGTAGGCCTTGAAAATTTGAATATTTCAAATCTGTTCACATTCTCGAATAGAGGTTGTTGAGTACTATATTATAGATTTCTTGTTTTTGTGAATCAGTCGACGAGTTCCGAATTAGAAGGGTGTTGCGGGTTGAAAACGCACACATTGTATGTTTAGGCTGATGGTATACACCTTTTAGGTCTGAAAGCATCAAGTATTACCCCTTTGACCCATCCATTTTTGACAGTGCGAAAAAAATAAAGAACAGCGCGTTTTTTATCCTTCTCAAAAGGTTAAAACCCTATAACTTCCATTTTTTCCACCTAGATTAGTTGACTATAGACACTTAGGCAGGGGTCGAAATATAAGGAGAAACCCTGTGGAGTTTCGAATGGGGAAGGTTCAGTTACTCCTGTGACTGTCTTTGAGCTTTTTGAAGAGGATGAGCTTCAACAGCTCCACGAAGTGCCTTGTCAGAGCCGGAACTAGGATTCTAGCGCCTGTGGCAAACTTTCAAAATGCTCCCTTGAAGAAATTCAGTTTTCAATAAATACATGTTATTTATAATTGACTTTTATTGAACATATTTTGAAGAACTTTTTTATTCACAATAATCTCCCATATTTCTTAAAAGGTAATGAACAAAAACTCAATCGAGGACCTTAAGTAAGTTTTCACTAATTTCAATTTACTAAACGACCGTTCACATGTTGCTGTGGTCACTGGTTACGTTAGGAATATTCTGAGAGCTGTGTCCAGATTAGGATATATTGTTTGAAGCGACAATACACGCATTTTCCGACGAATATCAAGAGCATTCATTTTGTCCAAGTCCGTAAACATTGCACATGCTTGAAATTTGAAGCTCTCTAATTCGTTGACGAATTCATACGGATCCAAATCGGAACTATATTTCAGTGTCAAATCCGCAGCTTTCTTCTTCAAGAAGACTCTTCTATAGATATTCCTTTCAAAAAATTGAAGTCTTCAGAAACTTCTGACAGCGCAGTAAATCTTTCTCCAAGTTGCATCGATATGGAGTCTTTTCCTATCCGTAATGGAAGCATCATCATTTTTCTTCTCCTGGCATTTTTTCAATTTTACCTTTCCTCTCCTCTCCAAAATTCGCTCCAATATTGATTGTTTCAGCGAATGATTTGGAGAATTCTAATAGAGACTCGAAGAAATCAGATCTATAATTTATGAATTTAATCAGATAGTCCTTTTATCATTTTTGCACCATCCTCAACATTCAATCTTTGGTTCTGTAGTGCCAGATTGATTTTGTCGTATTTCGCGCCATGTATCATTTTCTAGGATTTTGTTCCGTTTTGGTAGAGTTCGTTAACTACGTGTCACTCAACTTTGTGAACTGGTAAATACGCCACTCTGAAATTTAGAGCTTGTAGTCAATCTTTATTTGAAATGGAATATATTATATTCCATATTTTGCGCCCCTAGGTCGTTTGCGCCCGTGGCAAATGCCTCCTTCGCCACGCCCACGGTCCGGCTCTGTGCCTTGTTACCGAACATAAACGTCTCTGTTTATGTTCGGTGGCCTTGTGGAACACACCATGGCATCGGTCCCCAGATTCGGCGTGTCTTTTTTCTCACTGATGTATTTAGCGATCGTCATCGATACTTCACTGAAGGAAAATAGAAACACCCTGTATATTTTCAACTCTAGTGGAAGATATTATATATTACAAGAAAACTTTGAACGCGTAAGTGCATGGTCGGATATCATTCGATATTCGATCTCTTTAATGGTTCCAACTTCCATTCATACAGAGTGTATCAAAAAAGCACAGTGACTTGGAAGTACATATTCATAAATGGAACACCTTTTATATCATTACATTATCAAATTCTACGTTGAATTTCGACTGAGATTGATGGATTGTTTCATATCACGAAAGTTAATATTTTTGGATTTCTGAACATTTGTGATTTATTATTCGAACTATTTTTGCACCTATATACAATGAGACAATGTGAAATCAAGAAGTTACGGTGGTGGCGACGTCTTTTTGATGCTCACTGTATAATATTTAGTTTGCTAATGTTCCCTTTAGCCGTTTCGTCTAAATTCTGTCAGCAGTACTGAATTCTTTGCAATATTTTGTTTTTGTTTTTATGTTCTGGTTCTCACGAGAAGGGATATCCTATAATGTTCAGAGAACATCGTGAGAACCAAGGGAAATGAGGTAGGAATTGGTGTTCTTCTTAAATATCTGGAGGTTATATGCCTCGGAGAACACCACCCTTGGCAATGTGTTCCAGAGCCTCGCTGTTCGTTGGATGAACGAGTCTTTGGAAAGTGATGTTCTGCAGGTCTCCAAAGTGACCACGAATGGGTGCGAAGCCTCAACTCGACGGGTTGATCTCGCGGGGACTGCCAAGGGAGGAACAATTGTTGATATTTCAGAAGAGCATCGTCCATAAAAATATCTATAAAAAAGAGCCAGATCGCCAACTTTTCTACGGTGTTCCAGAGAAATGAGTGAGTTTGTGAGCGAGGCACACCCACGAGACGAATCGCCCTTTTCTGGACAGAATTCAACAGTTTCAGGGTACGTTTGGGTGTAGCACCCCAAATATGGGAACAGTATTCCAGGACAGGTCGAATCTGTGCCTTATATATCATAAGCAGCTGACTGGAAGTGAAATAGGTCCTGGCCCGAAACAGAAAACCAAGTTTTTGGGATGCACTTTTAGCAATTGATCTCACGTGAGTTTTCCAAGATAGGTTATTGCTGATAGTAGTACCAAAAATCGAAATGGATGTCTTCAAAGGTATCGTTACTCCTGGAAAGCTTATGTTGGGCACAGTGAGATCATCTTTTCTAGAGAAAAGGCATGCTTATGTTTTGTTTGAATTGAATCCTAGCAAGTTATTGGATTCCCATTCGAGAATCGTTGTCAATACAATCTTGGGAATTCGTATTTTTTCTTTACGGAACAATCCATTTTGATTATAGAACCTGAAAAAGATGAAAAAAACATTGTTTGGTTTTCATGACATTTTGTTGTGTCTCCGCTATCTTGATGTTATCAGCAGTTTTTATTATTGCAAATAACGAAAAAAAAAAAAAAAGTATTCCCCACTTGAGTTGAAAAAGTGTTTGATATGTTTTTTCTTCTTGCGATGAGTACCGTCATCTGAGTATATATGAAACGGCAAGGGTTATATGAAACATATCAGGTACTTTCTTGAATTTGGCTCGTTGGTTATTTCAATTTCACATAAACCAAAGACTGACTTTGTGTTATTGTTCATCACAAAAACCAAAAAATAAGTACTTCAAATCAGTATTGAAATTTATTGCACTGGTAAGCTTTTTTAGTAACCTCAAATAGTCTCATCTGAATCTCAAAAACCCATCGTCATGCATACTCAGTTCATTGAGAACAATATTTATACATAACCTCAACCAACCATTGTAAATTTTTTTCATGATTAGAATCATTAAACCTCGTCGGGAAAAAGTATAAAACAAAAAAATCTCGTTTTTGCAGGGATATATGAAATGCAACATGCCACGAAAACATATCCATAAAATTTCTTGCGAAAATTATTTCCATTGATGAAAATATTATCAATATTAGTTTTTTGAGAAATTATAGAGACAAAAAAAACATGTTGATTTTTCCCCCCTTTACTGACATGTCACAAGTTGAGGTGTTTGACATACATTGTTTCGCAACCTATAGTGTGCAGAGGAATTCACACATATAGTGGTGACCTGATTCAATATGTTAAATAGTGACAAGGATCTCATTTCTGTTTTTTTAGTTTAATGATATTTTTCATACCTAGATCTTTAAAATGAAACAATAAAATGATGTTTTGTATTTCCTCTGTATTATTTTCTATTTCAGTTATTTCAATGCTGTTTTTTTCTGAAATTGTTTAAAACATCCCGCTTGTTCCATATAACCCATCACAAAGTCTAATATAACACAATTCCAATTTTTCACGAGGATATGAAGCGAAAATGATATTGTTTCATATAACCCGTGACCAAGGGTTATATGAAACGCCAAAAATTCAAAAAAAATAAAATAGAAGGGCCTATACAAAACCATCAGAAATCCATGAGGAATATACCTTTGTATGTCCTTCAAATAACCACGAATATTTTGATTCGTCTCGATTTTCCAGAACGGAAATAATCATGGAAATGTTAGAAAATCGTTTCATATATACTCAGATGACGGTATCTGTTAGTTTGAGGGTTAACGTTTTTCATTGAAGACAATCTCAAAACAATCCAATTTCTCGAAAAGTGGCAAGGGTATTAACAGTCTTCAAAATGAGTGATTTCATTCGCTTATTTTTTGTCGTTTTTGTATACAAAGCGACTGGTCGGTCAGGCCGGTCGGCAACTAAAATCTCTGAGAATTATAAGGAACTCTCTGAAAATATAAGGATACATGGGGAAGAGTTACTTACTCCTGTGAGTGTCTTTGAGCTTTTTAAACAGGATAAGTTTCAGTAGCTCCACGAAGTGTCTTGCAGAACACACTATGGCATCGGTCCCCAGATTCGGCGTATCTTTTTTCTCACTGATGTATTTGGCGATCGTCATCGATACTTCACTGATCATGAACACAGGAAAATAGTGGGCGTTGATATAAATCAGACATTCGAACATCAGTTCAACGTCTACCCTCATTTTCGAAAATGTTGGGACTGCCGCAAGTCTCACGTAATTGCGACTTGATTCCGGTGTCTAAATTATTTTTAGGTCATCTAGTAAGTCGGCAATTGTCGATGGTATTTATTTATAATTCGAAAATGCTCTGGGATAGACTAGTGTGTGGTTTCTTTATTAAACCAGTATCACACGAATGTCACCGGCCAATTTTTCATTGGAAATCTCATTCTAGTTGTAATCTGATTACCTACGTCCGATTTGGTGGAATCTATAATCATTCTATTTGGGAACTAATGAAATGAGTTGCATGGATCGACAAGGAGAATAATTCAATAATTGTTCTTCTTGATTAATGTGAAAACATAGTACGCAAGGTGTGATATTGTCTAATCATTGGAAAAAAAATTGTATGAATCGCCTTCCTTAGCGATATTTCCAGCAAACCAGAGTACTGTCTATTTGGAAGATATTCATCCGCATCTCCCACCAGGCCAATGTCTCTTCTCTGGATGGAATCTAAGAGCATTAACGTATATTTGTTGCTGAACCCCATATGTGAAAACAGTATTCTAAAACAGACTGTGTCTGTGCGTTGTAGATCATGGAAAGCTGTTGAGGTGTAAAGTATATTTTCGCACTGTATAAAATACGAGTTCTTGTGAAGCAGCTTTCGCGATGGATCAAACATGATTCTCCCATGAAAGAGTATTGCTAATGGAAATACCGAGCATAGATTATACACTGGACTTGGTAGAAATGGGCATACTATGGGTTCCACCTTGGGTTCCACCTTTCTACAGAAAATACAGGCTTGAGTTTTGGTGGCGTTGAATTCAACTAGGTTATTGGTTCCCTAGGCTGTAATTTCAACATTATCGTCATTGACAGCGTTGACCTGCCTTCGTCGTGAGTTCTCAGTTTCCTGGGAAGAAATTGGAATTCTAGAAGATAACGAAGTATGGAGAGTGCTATTATATCGTCTGGAGAAGGCCAGGCTGAAAGGGAAAGCACATAAAGTGGGGGATTCACTGCCCACTGGAAGTGCACACCTCGCCGATCTCCCAATCAGGAAGTTCAATTTCGGGAAAAATTTCCGAACAGAACTGAGCCTTAAGGAAGAATGGAACACAGAATCCATCCAAGCACTGGGAAAGAATACCATAATATGGTATACGGACGGGTCTAATACACCCGAGAGAACTGGAGCAGGAGTATTCGGGCCACGCACCAAATTTTCCGAACCGTAGGCCATTTTCCCAGCATTTTTCAAGCGAAAATTCACGCCATAGGTGAGTGCATTCAGTTCAACCTCGACAGGAAATTGCGGAACAAGGAGATCGCTATCCTTTCCAACAGCCAAGCAGCCATCAAACCGTTGAGCTCAATTAACATGAACTTAGAGATGATTTGGGAATGCCTAGACGAACTCAACATTCTAGGTAGGAACAATAAGGTAATCCCCCTCTGGGTGCCGGGGCACATCGGAGTGGAGGGAAATGAACAAGCAGACATTCTGGCACGAAAAGGAGCATCAACGCAACTGATCGGACCAGAACCATTCTATAGCCTTGGAAATTCTCATTTCCAAGAAGAACTTAACAAAGCTGAAGGAGCAATGAGAGTAACACACTGGCGAAGACTTCTAGGACTGCTGCAGGCAGCAATAACGACATTTCTAATGGGGCATTATGGACTCAGAGAACACCTGAGGTAGCTTGGCTTAGAGGAGGACAGCACCTGCAGATTCTGCGGGGAACATCCAGAAACACCTCACCACATCGTGCTGGAGTGTTTTTCTGTACACCGCAAAGGATCAAACATACTGGAAGCATACCAGCTGACCGTGGCTGACATACCACAAACAGATCCCTTCAAAATCCTCAGATTTCTGAAAGAATTGGAACTTGAGGGGCTGCTATAAACAAGAAAACCTTGAGGTAACAAAAGAGGATGGGTCACAATAGATCTAATAGGGTCGCAGGGCATCTGTCACCATCCACACTTACCAATACTAATACCAATCATCTGCAAAGGTGCGGATAGGGCAAGTGGTAGCTCCCCCCAGATCATCGATACGAAGTAAGAACAATGTATACGTGCCAAAATAAATCCTCGTGGAACGCCGGAATTGAGGGCAATGGTATCAGACGTTACTCCGTCCACCACCAGCTATTTGACTGAGAGAAAACTCGTTGAAAGATGGCATATCTGAGGTGGATGGTAGATGCCAAGTTTACAAGAGAACACGTTAACTGCCATTCAGTCGAAAGGATACCGACATGAGATTTCCAATATTATTATCGTCCATTTTTATTTGGATGAATATAGAGTGTGTTCAAGATTAGGACGTCATTCATGGGGTGAATTTGATGATGGTTTCTCCGAAACGAAACTTCTTACGGAAAATCTCTCAATGTTGTTTTGTAGAGCTTGAAAAGAGCAACGAGAAAGTGTCAATGATAAAGTGTCTTTCGTTTTCCTATATCTCTTCAAATAACGTCAGACAAAACATAAACGATCTCCATGACAGACATCCTCATTTTGGACACCGTGTATACTTGTCTGGGAGTTTGGTCTCGCTTCTTGTCGGGCAGTGGCGCTGTAAACACCACGCTTGTTAGCTCCTGCAATTCTTGGAGTTTTTGAGGAATAATTGATCTAATATTTACAATTGGCTCAATGGATTCAAATATTCCTTGAATTAATTATTATTTTTTATTATTATTATTTGTTTAGGAGCTACAAACCTGATCACACAATCATAACAAATAACCTAAATGTATATTACCAGAACTGTAGGGGTTTGAATACCAAGTGTCATGAATTTTTTAGGAGATCCTTAGCTGAAAACTTTGATATTATCATAGCTGTGGAAACATGGTTGAAGGAGGGGGTACATGATGCGGAAGTTGTCGATATCCAAAAATATAATCTACTGAGGTCTGATAGAAATCTCCAATTCACAAATAAGAGTACGGGGGGAGGGGTGATGGTAGCGATAAAAAAAAGTATAAATTGGTAAGTATAACCAGTTACTGTAAATTCTTTGAAGCACTATCTGTCAATCTTAAGTTTGGCAAACAAAAATATACCTTCTGTCTACTATATATACCGCCAAAAAGCTCAGTTGAAGTATATGAGATAGCCTTCAATTTTATACAAGAACAAGTAACAAATATTGAGAACACGTATGTCTTCGGAGACTTTAATATTCAGGATATTACGAATATTTATACATTACCCAAAAATAATGAGAAAATAAATTTACTAAAAGATTTTCTGAACTTAAATGATTTCAAATTATTTAATGATATAACTAATTTTCAAGGCAGAATATTAGACTTAGTTGTAAGTTCAGAAAACAACACAAACCACTGTAAGGTCGAAAGAGAATTGTTGCCCTTCGTGAAAGAGGATCAGTATCACCCTACTTTGAGTATATCTATAGAAATTCCAAAGAAAAAATCAGAAAAATCTACGCAAGAAACGAATGAAGTCCGTTATAATTATAAGAATGCTGATTTTTTGAGCTTTAGTACACACATTAGGGACACCGACTGGTCTGTGGTGATCAACGAGCAAGATGTGAATAGGGCTTTAGAAAGATTTTACTTGAAGTGGAATGATATTGTGGAACAGTGTGTACCTAAATGCAAGGTAGGAACAGGCAAAAATAAAAAGTACCCGGTATGGTTTACAAAAGACATAAAAAAATTACTGCATGAAAAGGAACGTTATCATAAACTCAAGTCGTTATCAGACTACTATTTTAACAAATATAATGAAATAAGAAGGAAATCTAAAGAGTTAATTAAAAAAGAGGAAAAAGCGTATTTGATGAAAATGGAAGAAAATATAACGAATGATGTAAATTGCTTTTGGACATACGTTAAAAATAGGAAGGAAAATAGTATACTAAATAAATACTATTACGAAGGTAATGAAGTGCAAGATGAACAAGTATCTGAAACGTTCGCCAATTTTTTCTCCTCAGTATACTGCTCGCAGCAGGCTTCATATAATATTCAAGTTGACGATTCAGTAACTTATTGCAATGAAACATTCATGATTCATTTATTAGACGAATCTGACTATAATGAAGCAGTAAAAAGACTCAAACCAAAAAAGTGTGCTGGAACAGATGGTATTCCTCCATATATTTTAAAGGGTGTCAGTGAATGGTTGAAGTTGCCACTTCTTCATATTTTCAATCTTATTATAAAGTCTAATAATTTTCCTGTACTCTGGAAAACTTCAATATGTATTCCTATACATAAATCAAAAAATAAAATGGACATTGAGAATTATAGACCTATTTCAATTATGTGCGCTCCAGCCAAGCTGTTTGAAAAAATTTTCCATAGCAAATTGTACCAGTATATCAGAAAGTATATAGCACCGCAGCAACACGGTTTCATGGCTAAAAAATCGATAAACACAAATCTTTTTTTGTTCAGTAACAATGTATATGAGACTTTTGAACAAAATTTACAGTTGGACACTGTTTTTACGGACTTTCGCAAGGCGTTCGATAAAGTGGACCATGATATATTGCTACAAAAGTTAGGTAAATATGGACTGGCAAGGAATATATTGGAATTGATGAAAAATTATCTGAGAAATAGATATTTTTTCGTCAGACATAATGGTACTGTATCAAGTCAGTTTGGGGCAAATTCTGGAGTACCGCAGGGTTCTAATTTGGGACCATTATTGTTTACAATATTTATCAACGACTTGCCAAGTGTCCTTGTGAACTCTGATTGCTTACTTTTTGCAGATGATCTGAAAGTTTTCAAAAAAGTACAAACGGTAAGGGACTGTGTTGAGTTGCAAAAAGACCTAGATAGCATATTTGAATGGAGCAATAGAAATAGGTTATATTTCAACTTGAATAAATGTGGTATTATAACGATAACTAGAACTAAAGATCCAGTAGTTTTTGAATATGAAATGAATGGAGAAACTTTAGAAAGAAAAAAGGAGATGCGGGATCTCGGTGTAAACTATAATAGCGTTTTTTCTTTCTCCGATCATTTGGAACATGTTCGCAAGTCTGCAAACCGTGTTCTAGGATATATTATAAGGCAAACTTATGAATTTAAAAATATCCATACCGTTAAAATATTGTATTATACTTTAGTAAGACCGAAGATTGAATTTGCATCGATAATTTGGATGGGGGAAGGTACAACTGCATTGAAAGAAATAGAAAAAGTACAAAATAAATTACTCAGATATTTATATTACAAGGAGTACCACGTCTGGCCTGACTACCTGACAGTTAGAACAACTGAGATCAGATCACATTTTAAAATACTATCTTTGGATCAGATACGTAGCTTAATATGTGTGATATTCTTATATAAAATTATGAATAATAAGATTGATTGCCCCGACATTCTTGCTTTGCTACCATTTAATGTACCTCCTCGCCGTACTCGATCCTCACGCTTGCTCAATGTACCTCTTAGGAAGTTATCTAAATCCCCTCTTTTAATCATGCTTCGACTGGCTAACCATTATAACACTCTAATTTCATTTGAGTGGTCGCTCCCTGAAACTACATTTCGCAGAGAAATCTTAAATGTCATTCTCGATTTATCAGTTTGATTTTGGGAAAGAATCCCTACATTTCTCTTCTCTCTCTTTTTTCCTTTGTTTTCCACTTTTGTGTTATGTAACCTTATTTGTAATGATTAGGTATATTATCTTGTACTCACTTGAATTGATTATTGTAAGGTTTAATCGCCACTTCAGATGGGTAATTATTTTATATTTATGTAATCCATGTAATTAGGCCCATAGGCCTGTTTGGATGAATAAATAAATAAATAAATAAATAAATCAAACTCCACACGCGGAAAGAAATGGATACGTTTGCTTCCTTGATTTCTGGATAGCTATTATTTCTTATACCTGTCATTATTTTGGATGCCTTGACATGTAGTATCAGTTGAAAATGGAATTTTGTGTTGGATTCATATTATTTTACAATTATTGAATGAACAAACGAGATATGGAGTAGTATTCTGTAGATCCCCACCTTATTTAAAGATCAGTCGAGATATCCTGTATTCTGCATGTTCATGAGACATCAGAATTTTGAATTCCTGTCCACTAATACGAGACACCCTGTATCCGGTATGTTCATTAAAACATCGAGATTTTGAGTTCCTATATGCACTGATACGATTTTTTTCCTCTAGATAATAACAAACTACAATACTTTATATGTGTACTGAGTTCTTTCTTAGATGACTGATTTCAATATTTTTTCATTTCGCAGGAAGATTTGACACTACTGGAATTGCTACAGGAGTACCAGACGAGAATATTGGTAAAGTTAAAGTTTTGCGACTGAACGTTCACAGCGAAAGTGATAATTGGGCAATTTTAAGTGAGGTGAGTAAATGCTGGTTATAAATGGGTGAATATGCCTGGAGGTGAAACAAACTTAAAACCTCACTTTTCTTGTGTGTTCACAAAAGATTGATGTAGTTTTTCCCAATTATTTTGGGATATAAATCGTGTTCCTTAGTATATTTATTTATTCGAGCATGCCATCATATTAGGTCTGTTCGTGAATCCTCACACTGCATACACTTTTACGCCGAAGTATTACACTGTGTTCGTAAAACCTAGTGCATGAGAATTACGTCAAATCGCGCTGTTCGAAAGTGTAGTGTAAACAGAGTAATAATATTTTTCTGCAACCGACACAAAAGTCGTCCATTTTGATACCAAAATTAGCTCTTAAATTGACGTTTCTATTACTGACACAAAAATTGGTATGTTGCTAGGCAACATATTCAGTTCCTAGGAGCTAAAGTTGAATTTTAGTTCCTAGGAGCTAAAGTTGAACTTTAGCTCCTAGGAACTAAAAAGGATGTACTGGACGTCATCAAGAATAAACAACATTGTGACGGTTGGTTATTTGGGTTGAGACGCATACCTGATTTGTTTCCGATTCCAGCTGATTTGGCATTTAATACCCATGCTGGAGATATAAATATACCTTATTATAGTTAAGTATTGGAATTATAAACATCTCAGCAAAGTATTTTTGTTTGATCAGGGAAGCCTTCAAGATTCAAATACTTATGCTTGATATGTATTTCATTCGTTATTCTCGGGATGGATAACTTGTTTTTGAATAATCACGGCAAGCAATAGTTTTTTGTCTCAAACAACGATATTGTTTAGCTTCATTTGATTATCAAGTTAACCACAGTGTAGTATGGAGAGGAATAAATAATAATCACTATTATCATTGTTGATATACTCACTAACCTAACATTTTCCACGTCTTGTTCCTATAGCTGGCACTATGGCGCGGTATTTGCCATTAGAGCACCTGGTCCATACACAAATATATCACTCTGTGGTTGTATTTACATCGAAACTACAATTCGAACATCCTTGAAAACCTAACCTGCTGTTAATGCAGGTAGAATATTCTTACCACATGGATTATTTGTCAATATTTGTTGCATTGCATACATATGGCACGGCATTGGTGGTTACTTCACATGTTTATTTGAGTTACTTAATTGTTTCGGTTGCAGAAAAAATAGCATGTTTCATTCGGATCAAAAGTGACTTTGTTCGACTCGCAAATTTTGCTTTCGCTCGGCTTCGCTAAACGCTCCGCCTCGCAAATGCAAAATCCGCTTGTCAAACAAAGTGTCACTTTTGATCCTAATAAAACAATCTACTATTATTTACAACCATATACTAATCTTATATCTCTCACAGGAGTATGTCAACAAATCATAATTCTCAGATGTCAGTTCGTTAAAGTTTGAGTTATATTATAGGAAGATGGAAATTGTGTATATCATGAAGAATGGCTGAAAGAATAACTGGACTTCAGGTTACTGATGAGGATTTGATATCCGAAATGAGTTGATTCGAGTGGAGTCATATAACTTGTTTGTGAGAGATATAATTCCCATATCACTGATACGAATATTTTCTCTTAAGTTCCAAGCTCAGTTCATAATTATATCTGAGGATATTCCTTTTCAATAGTCAGGGCGTTGAATATCTACAGAGAAGCTGTTTATTCTTCTGGAAGAAAATCTTTGTGAATATGTGTAATCAATTTCCGTTATCTCTGTTTCAGATTCATATACAGGACGAAGTGACAGCTAGGTGACAGGAATCTAGCATGCGGGCAATGTCGTCGGCATTTCTATATCGGCGTTCATCGCAAAGAGTGTCTGATCACTCACATCATCTGTGATATCAGTTTTAATAACGAAAATATTATCAACGAAATGTGGAAGGGAAAAATAACGCTGAGAAAATTCAAGAGAGAGGGGTCAAAATCTCAATAAGGGACATGCTCATCGTGAATCACAACGATGAATACCTATGTTATACTTACAGGGTGATTCGAAACTAGGGGGCTCAAACCTGTAGCAGCAATACATCAAAATAAAAAAGTTTCTCTAGACAAAGGTGTACGGAAACACATATATCTCCAAGAGACCCACCAACTTGATATCAACACCAATATACAGTGTGTACGATTTCAACTCGCGACACACTCTTTATCTAGAACCCGATGACCACTTTTCCAAAACAAAACGCTGTAGATAAATCTGGAATATTCAGATTCTCTATAGTCTATACTGTAACTTTTGTTCGTTGGAGGGCTCAACATTTCGCAAACGACTATTAGGCAATTTTCTCCTGAAAAAATGAATAGCCTATTCGTTTCATGTATATAGCTTAGTTTGCTTAGTTATTCTTCTCAATAACACCGTAAAACGGGGTAACTTTGCATTTCCAGATAACTTTGCCATGAGTTCGTGAGTAACCTAAAAACAATTCTCATTTCTGAGCTGTTTGTTGCTAAGTGGGCGTGACCCCGCCTTCAGGATCTTCTGTTAGTCTGGAATCAATAAATTTCAGATAGCTCGATATAGGCTTGAGCCTTATTGGGAGTCGAAGTCCACCTGCCAAATAAATTTGGAAGGAGTTTTTGTATACGTGCGGCAGTTGATTCCGTAAGTATTTTCTGGAATGTTTCATCTCAATATATCCATAGAAGTGACCTCAACATGCCTATTATCGATAATCTTACAGGTTTTCAAAACAATATCTCAATAATTTGAAGAATTTTTGGAGGTTGGCAAAGCACGATATATTTTTTCCAATTTCGGGGTTACTTTGCTATACATTTACTTATGTCATGATTTCCAGGTCCGTACCATGTCTAGGGAGTACAGAAAGTACTAAGGAGTCGTTAATATTTGAATTACACTCCTAAAACATCAGAACAGACGATGCAATAGAGAATGCATTTCGATGTGAGAGAGCGTCAAAAATATTCAATATACCGAGGATACAATACGAAACGTTAGATAAAAGCAGAGATTCACGGCTTGACTTGATATTCAAGCTACTTGACTTGACTTGACTCGAAATCAAGTCAAGTTCAAGTCAAGCGAAAGTTTTTTTATGTCAAGTCAAGTCAAGTAGTTATTTATCAAGTACTTGAAAAATCAAGTAGTTCTATCAAGCTACTTGATTTTCAGCAGTTTTATTGTGTATCCATACAGCGTGACTCACGGTCGATGTTATAGGTTAGACGTTTATGGAGAACGCGACGCGAGATTTTTCTGAAAATTTGGCATACACAAAAAATACCTGAAGTTGAAAAATCTCGATTTTTCGCACTCTATATCTCCATAATCATTTCCGCTATACCCCGAGTGTGATGTATCGATGAAATCAACTCTCCAAGGAGAATCTGAAAATGCAATGAAATACAGGGTGTTCAATTCGAAATAACAAAGTGGTTCCTACTTTTCTATAGAAGCGGCAACGTCGTGATTTTGAAAATATATTAGATCGATAGTACCGGTGATGAAATGTGAGATGCGAAATTTTCAGAAAAATCCTGCGTTGCGTTCCTATCATAAACGTGAACGTCTAACCTACCAACGACCGTGAGTCACCCTGTATATAACTGATGAAATGAAAATGGCATCGTAAGACTGACTGCGCGATCGATTCAGTCAGCTCGGATCTCGGGAAACCCCCGTATTTTGTCTAAGCGTGAGCGAGCTTGCAGAAATATACGCCGTGCGACTCGTGCGTATCAAGATCAAGTATTATCAAGTAGCTTGATTTCAAGCCAAGTAATAAATGTTTCAAATTCAAGTCAAGTCAAGTACGTAATTTGCCACGAGCTTGATTTTCAAGTCAAGTCAAGTAGTTTGTTAAAATATCAAGCTACTTGACATGATGAATCTCTGGATAAAAGGTTCATCAACGTCATTCTGGTAATTATAGTGCACCAACGGAGCTGACTAAATAGATGAGAGGCAGCTTGTGGACCTGATCTTGGCCTGTGTGCTGAATATGGGTGGCTCTTCACTCCTCCTAAGTTCAATTGATTCGATTTTTTTTCAATATTTTGATATGGGGTTCATTATACGTTAGACACACTAAAACGTATGTTTATCAAAAATCTGTGTTTATTTCTCACCTGTTGTGAAGCCCCTGTTATATAATGGTGGGTGGATAGCAAAGTATTTTATCTGGAGAATGAACTATGCCAAAAATGATTTTATATGTACTTTACATCACATGGCAAAGTAACCACATGTTGTGTGAATAATTTGCCAATTTCAAAATTCAAAAATAAAATACTCTCCTTACCTACTTCAGATTAAATCTATAAGTCGCATAAAGAAAGAGCCAAAATTGAACATAATTATTCTTCTTAGGCGAAAAACCCGATATTTCTGGCAAAGTAACCACGTTTTACAGTACCATGCTTCAAAATTCAGAAGGAGTTGATATAACCAATGAAGAAGTTATTCTATGGAGGAACACACCAAGAACTTGATTCAACAGAAAGACGTCTGTGTCAACCAAAAATCAATAAAACTAAAGTTGAGGTTTACCATTTTGAAAACTCGATAAAACCATTAATCACTTACTCCACGAAATAGTAGTATATGAAGCATATTTCCTCGATGCAGCTACTATTGTTTATATTTTCAGGAACAAATATTTACTTCAATTTCAACTTCAATTTCATCGATTGTTGGTTGACCTGGAAAAATACATTCCTGTAGAAGTATTTAATCAATCAATCAATCATTCGAACTGTGCTTCATTGTCCAAAGAATATTGGTCTCATTGACGAAGTTTGAATAATATAGTGTGAAGAAAAAAAGGAAGAGTATTTATCGCAGTACAAAATAAGATGCCTATAATATTACATACAATGTTTAGGAAAATATTGATTGAAATTCGCATATGAAACAAAAACAAAACATGAACAGAAACAATAATTCAAGTATATTCGATGTGTTTATCCATTGAATGTCTACTTCACCGGTTATATACAGGGTGAATTGAAAATTGACAACCTATATGAGTTATTGCTTTGCCTGAATTGAATAGGCAATCCACTTTTTGTTCTGAAGAATCGGTCAACGGGTTCCAAATTAGAAGGGTATCGCGAATTGAAATGGCACAAACTGCGTATGTATGTATATGTCGGCTTCAAACAGTGAAATCCGTCATTCTCTGGAATGCCTAGTCATTTCACGTTTTGCCGGCAAACAGCGTAACTCTAAATTTCGTACACCGTTTGCCTGATAGTTTCAGGCATTTCCTGTAATGACGGAAGCTAGGTTCATTTAGGCCGAGTCAGCTTAGGTTGTTTAGAAGCAGTAGTGTCTTCTGTTCTCTCAAGAAACTTTTTGAAAAATATACTGTCTAGGGAGAAGGTTCATGTAGGCGGAAGAATAGTTTTCCTTCTTATGCATATGCAGAAAGGGTATTTTCCTTCCTCAATCCTCCGGCAAACAGAGTAACGGCTGAGAATGGAAGTTACGCTGTTTGCCGACAATACGTGAAATGACTAGGCATCTCAGGGGATGACGGATTTCACTAATTGACGTCGACATATACATTCTGATGGCCAAAATACAGAAATACGAAATGATACCGATAATAATAAAGGATGCGATGTGATTCTAAGAATTCATTTTTCACTCGTTCAGATGTCTGTGAAACGTCTTAGACATCCAATTCCAAAATATCGTGTATATTCAGGGATAAGAAATACTCTTGATTTTAAATTCGGATAGAACAACCTGGTTGATTTGAATATATATAGAAAGCAAAAATATAATAATAAGCAATGGTTCCACACTGCCAAGAAGTTTTGCAGTTACCGAAGAAAACTGGGTTTGAGATCGTTTCATGACGTTTTAGATACGTATTGTTTTTCCCCTCTCTCTTTTGGACCAATCTTTTGATAGGGTAAGGGTGCATTTTATAACGAGTGGGTATAGTGGGCTAGAAAATTAGAATTCAAGTTACCGTTGGAATCTCTAAAGATGTTATTAAGTTTATTTATTTATTGACCTATCAAGATTATACGAATATCACCCTGACATGCCGAGCGAAGACTTTCGAACTATGGATACAAAATTTAGAGATTGTTTTGAAATGAACCTGCCATTTTTCATCAGCAGCCCTAAGAACAGAATTGAGAAAAAATATCGAAACTCATTGTGATAAGAACAATATTATCTGTACTAATGAGAGAACTCAAGAAGTGATACTGATGTATCTGGACTATCTTAGTAAAATGTGATCAAATGGTGGTTATGATTTGGCAATTTATGTCCAAGTCAGTGACTACCTGTAACAAATTAATGATGTTTACCTACCTATAATATTCCTTATTCACGATCGGGCGTAAAGTGGCACTTTATCGCCCGGGTGAGCGGAAGTAAAGTAGCACTTTAGCAGGCGGTGAGGTGCTCCGGCGGGCGGTAAAGTGATTTCACTGTTTTTCCAATAATTTCTAGTAGACTACTGATCTTTCTTTGTCAGTGGCATAGATAATTTGGCCAGACGAATTCGAAACAATTAATTAAGTTTATATTGACAGTGAAAATATGTCTGAAACGATCGTGCAAAAAATGTTGCATGTATTTCGGACGTAACTGTGGCTTTCATGGACCTAGGCGTGTTGATAATAATTTCACTTATTCGCTGCGGTCCATGAAAGCCTTCTTTACTTCCTTGATACATGTCTCTCAGGCTTTTACTTACTCGCTGCAGTCCATAAAAGCCTACTTCATACTCTTGATGAACTATTATCTTGGTGCTTGTTGT